TTATATAGTTGCAGAAGTAGAGAAGTTCAATTTTATTAGGTTAAGTTAACAAGGTTTTTCAAACTCATCGTATTACGTTAATTGATTATAGATAATCGAAGTAGGATTAATTAATTAATTAATTAATTAATTAAAATAGAGAATAATATATAATTAATCAAATAAATAATTGCTAATATTGATACATATATTAATGTATAATCCAATATTATTGGCTACAATATTAGAAAAATAAATTATTAAATGAAATTTTGGTAATATTATAAAAAAAAAATATGTATTTGAGTTTAAACCCATTACAAAATTTTCAAGATATTATAACAAATGTGTTTTAATTCAAGTCCAATTATAATTAATTATGTGATATATATATATATATATATTAATTATAATAAAATTAAATTAAATTAAATTTAAACACTATTAACAAAATCTTGGAGAAAAGGAAAATCATTTGGAATTTTTGAAAAGGAATATTAAGATCTTGTTGGCTAAGAAACCTATAATTCTATATAATATTGTGGAACGCACAGATAAAAATGGTGTCTTTTTCTTTTCCCTCTTCTCTCAGTTTGTTCAACACTCTCTCCGAACGGAACTGGAATTGTTGATTCATGGCGAAACTGAAGGTTGCCGGAACGTGGGCCGGCGTGCTCGAGATAGAACTGGAGAAATGGACGGTGACCATGTTGAGAGAAGAAGTGGCAAAGCGATCAAACGTTGAGCCATCGGCGATCAACCTGATTTGCGCAGGCAGGGTCTTGAGAGATGGTGATGGCGCAGAGAAGCTTAGCCAATTGGGTATCAGAAACAACGCTAAGATTCTCGCTGTTCGCGTATCTTCCGAAGAGGGCAAGTCCCTCAAGGACGATCTGATGGCGGAGGAGGAACGAACTCGCAGGCTTGCCAGGGTCAAGTCGGTCTTGTTTCAACTCATCTTCACTGTTTACTTTTGGGTTCTCAATTTTTTTGATGTTGATTTTCTTTTCCTGGGGGGGTTTAAGGAGCGTTCTGTGAGTTGGGAGAATTAAACCCGTTTTACGATTGGCTCTCCCTTGATGACTTTTTGGATGTCAGCTAGTTAATTCATCTGGGTTTTAGTTGGACTGTTATTAAAGTTGCTTTCTATTGAGCTTTTATTTGAGGTTGATTTGGATTGAATTCTGGGTTTTTGCTAGAACCCTGATATCAGTGATGAAATTGAATTGTATAGTCTATACATGCTTAATATGACTGTATTGTTGTTTGACCTATATATAAGCTGGATAACTTCTGCGGTAGGTATGAGATATGTGTTCATGATGTGCATGTCAGACACTGGTTGATCTGCAAGTGGAGGTTTTGAGATTATGATATAATACGAAAAGGGTGATGAAGACTTAGAAGTTGATCAGTTCTATTCATCAATTAGTATAATTTCTTTTCCTTCGCTACAAATATGAGCATGCTATCTTTTTGTTCTAAGGACTGTGTTTTGTTCTGTATATGATATGTCATATCTCCCTCAAGGCTTATATTAGTTTTAGTTACTTTTCATATCAAATGAATCCAAGTACCCATTTCCAATTTGTGGACTCTTATTGACTCAGTCCCTATATATATTGACTGTAAAAATTATTGAGCTACACACTTCGTCCATAGTGGTAACAGACACTTGCACTTGAGTCTGAGCAAAGTAGGTTGTACATGTTTACCAGCTTTTAACTTGCTGGCATTGCTGTCAAATTGGCAGGGCAGCTGCTACTGCGTTGTCCAAGAGACATGCAGATGGAACATTGCCAGTTGAGGACTTTAATATAGAACTTGAAGATCAGAGAGGACAGAAAGTACAATTGGGATCTGAGACTGACCAGAGGTGTGATATACTAGTACTCACTTGTAGTCTAAGGATACCTTATCACATTCTTACGCAAGATTCAAATTGTAATTGACAGGGCAGTGATGATGGGTCTAATGCTGCATGCCAATGCCAAGAACCTAATGGCAAGGGAAATGTATAAAGATGCACTGGAAGTGCTTACCATGGGAGAGGTCAGTTACCAGTGTCCTTTTCATGTGCTGATTAAGGAATTCAATATTATCTACAGTAAGGTTCCTTTTTCACAAAGCAAAAGAATTTGGTCTTTTTACTACTTAAGGAAAGATAATTTTGAACTTTTGAGGGCATTATAATCAGCAAATTACAATGCATACAGCTATATGGTTAAAAACAAAGCACTTTGTTGCAACTTTCTAAAATTTCCTGAATTCAGTGTGTATTTTTCTCTTGATACGGGTTTTGCTATGTTTCCCTTGGCTCAGATTACTCTTATTCTACCAAATGACTTTCTTGCATGCTATTATTGCCCCCGCGATATTATCAGGCATTCTCCCATGATTATAAGGTAACTGATTCATATATTTCACTTTTTTTTCCCTCTTTGCAGGAAGCTTTCTCTCTTTGTGATCCCAAAGTTCTCGAGGTAAGTAATAATTTCTAATTTGTTTAATTTAAGATGTAGTAGATCCTAAAAGGCCTTCTCTTCTTGTAAAAGTTAACTAGACAAACAATAGACATCTAATTCATTTAAATGGAGTTAGGTTCTGGTTATAGCTTTTAAAATTTGTAAAAGTGAATGTTGAGATTTAACTCATGTTACGCTCACAGATTAAATTAATTATTGTCACAGAATCAGTTGCAATTTTTCACTACAGAGAATGCAATCTTACACCCAGATTTTTTCCCCTTCATATAGGAGAATAGAAAAAACTTCAAAATTACAGGTATTTCTACGATAAAAACTTAAAAAGATTCTAGGCCAAACATAACTCTTCTCTCTACCAGGAAGTTTTTTTAAGCCAGTATCTCTTTGAGCATGGGCCACAAATTCGACAGTAAATATCATCAAATTAATAATTGATATAAAAATTTCTGGGGTGCAGATGGGGGCAGTTTGGTAGGAATCTGATGAAATAACCAAGTTAAGCTTCTTCTTTAAGATGTGCCTTTGGCAATTATTGGTTCTTGTAGTTGTTTCTTCTAGGGTGATTTGAGTTTCCAAATTCGAGGATAGTAGGTATTCGTTTGGCTTTTTTGAGAGAGAGAGAGAGAGTATGTTTCATTTGGAAAAAACTAAGAACTAATTCTCCTTTTAATCATTTTACCTTTAACATATGTTTAATTTTAGGTTTCAGTTCTAAGTGTTAGTGGCTTCTAGTTTCCTTACCAAACATGTTCTAAGCTGTTTTTGTACTTTTAGTGCCTCTTAAAATTATTTTCTACCTCCTTGGAAGACCAGATATGATTAATTGCACTATGTGATGTTGTCAACCAGATATGATAAATTGCACTATGTGATGTTGTCAAGCTTCCATTTTATTTCTCAATCATTTGACACCCAAACCCAATTTGTAATCATTTAACTTCTTGTCTGTTTTTCTTACAGCTTATAGACAACGTCCCTATATTACAAATAGATATTGTATGGTGTTATTTCTTGCTTCGAGAGATCAGTTGGCTCTCAGTTGCTGGAATAAGACTTGAAAAGGCCAGAGAAGGAATTGAGCGTGCTCATGGCAAGGACCTTTCCCGCGTTAGAATCCTTCAAGTGGCTCATCATCCAGAACTTGCCCTGTGAGCATTTACTTAGTATTTATTCAATTGTCTAAATAGAACTTGGAATTATTTTAGTACCAATTGGAAGCTAATTTGTCGTGTAATTTCTATTTTTAGACATTTGAGACTGGAGTTGTTAGAAGGGGTGGTGGCATATCACAGTGGTCAGTTCGATAAATCTAGGAAAGCACTGGCCTCCGCGCAGGCGAAATTCTTGCAGGTCAATTGAGTATTCTTGAGATCAGGGGAAGGAAAAGAAAAGATTTTAAGTAAAAAGAAGGTCAAAAGAAGACTACATTATATTTTCCCCTCAAATATCGTTTAACCTCATAAGTGAAAATAATTTAGAAGAAATCTAGATATTGTCTATGTTGTTTAATATGTTATTAGCAAATTTTACTGGGAAATACCTTATTGGTTCCTTTATCTCCCCTTCAAAACAATCCACGAGCATACTTGTCAATTTGTATAGCAATCTAAGTTAGTCTTCACCTCAAATAATATGCTCTGCTTTAATTTCAGCTACAAATACCCGATGAAGCCTTTTCTACAGTAATGAGCATGGGTTTCAAGGAAAATGATGCAAGGAGGGCTCTGCGGTTGAACAATCAAGATGTTCAGACTGCTGTTGATTTTCTTGTTGAGGAAAAGGCAAAGAAAGCACAGAAACGAGAAGAAGATCTTCGTCGAAGAGGGGAAATAATGTAGTGTAGAATTAGTTAGCTAACTTTAATTTTAGCTATCATTTTCCTGGTCCATCTTATGAAGCAGCCTGGCATTGCAGGGAGCAAAAACGGTATGGAATGACTCCCTCAAAGAAACCTGTGGATCTACAAATGTTGAAAAGTCTTGTTCCCATTGGGTAAGCAGGCGAAAACTAGATAACTGTCTGTCATGTGCTTTGAAATAACTGAAGATAAAGAGTTTGAGAAATTCTTAAATGACATTGGAAAACAAACATTTTTTTCCGGAAACATGACTTACCAATCCCCTATCCCAGTAGGAAAAGGAAAAGATGCTTTTCTGATATTAATTTAATTTTAAATTGTATTCTAACTGGTGATTTAACAGGAATTTCATTTAGTGAGAAACCATATTTACCCACTCAAACCTAAAGGTTTGCTTGGTTTGTCAGGTTTGAGAAAGAGGTTGCTGCGGAAGCCCTTCGAAGAAATGAGAATGACTTCCAAAAGGCACTGGATGACTTGATTAATCCAGAAACGAATTCTGCGTTACTGGTTTGTTGCTTTGTCCTGTGATTTTTTTTTCCTTCAAATTTTGATTTGATTCCAACTTTTACCATTACTGCTCTTGTTTGCTCTGCAGATTGATATTGAGTCCAGGAAAAGGAAAAGGCAGCAAAAAGCAGCATGTGCCTATATTGAATCTTTGGTGTCAATGGGTTTCGAAAGATCAAGAGGTACTTACTAATACTAACTCTGTTCCTTCTATGCGTATATTGTTAGCCTTGTATTTAGATTCTGGCGCTGTTTCATAAAGATATTGAACTAAACCAGTTTAATCAGCTGAAAAAAAAAGAAGAATGCTATTATTAAGTTCTAGGTCCTGCTGCAGATGCAGAAAAAATGACCACTGAGGCAAATGTAACTTTTAGTGCACTTTTTTTCTCCTTTTACATTGTAAATTGAGAGAGTGACCATGTAGTTTAGATTGTAAAGTAATTGGTAGTTGATATCAACTAATTACAACCTGTGGAGAATGTGGAAGAGATTCAATTCAAACCATTCAGTATCGATGTGATTTTACTTCAACTCTCCTTGCTTAAATCGACATTTTCTAACAGTAGGGTGGCGGAGTAAGTTCTAATTCGGAATTAATATTTAAAAATTTCTTTTGCTTTCCCACGTTGCCAGCCGTTTTGATACAGCCAGGTTCTCATGGGTTTTTCCGTGTGTGCAGTGGTTGCTGCTTGTCAGGCTGGTGGCGACATGGAGCAATTAATGCAGCGATTGCTGTCAGCAGAACTGGAAACGAACTCAATGGTTACTGCTAACAATACCGATGTCAATAATTTAAACAACATTGAGCTTCCTGTTGATTTGGGTGATAATGAAATTCTGGGTAATTTGGACAACGATGCTAATGATGGAGGCCAATCAAGTGCTGGCGAAATAAAACAGCGGGATGTGGAGATGGAGGATGAGCTTGCTGATGAACTAGCAAGGCAGGATGCTTTGTCAGATTATGACATTGAAGTTACAAAAGAAGGTGAAGCCATAGACGAATACTTGGCTCTGTTGGCTTCAGCAGAAAATACTGGGAAAGCCTCTTCTTCCCAGTGAGCTAACCACCCTCAACAGCGAAGCGATGTAAAAAAAAAAATATGTATGAGAATAACAGGGTTGTATATAATCCATTAGTTGAGGTGTTCATGTCAATTCTCAATAATCATGTTGAGAGGATGATCTTCCTGGGTAGAATATGATCTGAGTTAAGGAAGCCATGTTTTAGCATTAATATACGGATGTAAGTATTTAATCTATGTCTACAAACTTCTTATTTGACGCCCAAACTCCCCTTAATGAAAGGGAAGGGGAAATTGCTCACTAGATACATTGGATTGAGCTCTATGGCTACTTAAAAGAACATAAACTGCATTGATGTCAAAAGGAAAAAGTGAAATCGAAACTCAGTAATTTGTATGATTATGATTTGAAGAGTACTATCTAGGTAAATGTACATGCCCAAGTACATATTTTATGACATTTACTCTTCCAAATCTAAGTTAGATGGTTCTTCACTATCCTTGATCATGGTAATCATGTCTGTGGATTTGTCTTCCTTGACTTTTACACCCGCAGAATCCTTTGTAAGCATGTTACAGTTAATAGTCTGCCACACTGGCCTCTCTTCCTGGAACCACCTGCAATGCAATAAGCTCAGAAGTAAGAAGAGGAAACCAAACACATCATAGAAACAGAGGCAAATGTGAATATAGTAGGGGCGCACAGTTTAGGTTGCAAGCCTATTTTTCATCAATTGGAGTTAAAATTGTGCCATCAGTAGCCTGTAATGAATAGTTTACTTTCACTCAAAAGTATCCACTTGTCGCTAGAATTATGATTAGACAAGCTTTGCACCAGTTAACTCCACAATGAATCCTTTTGGCATGCAATATCACGAGATATTTTGCCGGACAGGGAGAAAGAACGCATATCTCAATGCATGCATGATGCATATTAAAGGAGATTACCTATGAAAATATCATTAGAAAATATTCAAACTATTGCAGTCTTTAGCTTATGACTGATTTCAGATTCTCTTGTATGCAGCCACTCTCACGTAAAATGGAGAATAAAATGGCCTCTGGACGATATTCTTTCTTTGACATGAAATGCATCTTTAATTTGAAAACAATTTTCATAAAAGTTTCTTGCTCTGCCAAACAGGCAAATTTCCTTGACTGCCTGGTTTTATATCGAGAACCAACTAATTTTCCAATAATGGTACATATACCATCACCAGTGTTCAACTTGGCACAGAGAGAGAGAGAGAGAGAGAGAGAGAGAGAGAGAGAGAGAGAGAGAGAGAGACTCACAGATGCTTGCACAGCATGGGGCACTGAATAGTAACAGCATACTTGCAAGTGGATAGCTCTGTAATAGAACTAATCATAGCTCTGGACTCTGAGCAAACAAATCTCACCTGCAAATAAATATTAGAATTTAGAAGAAAAAAAAGAAGGAAATAAAAAAGAGAAAACTATATAAAAGTTTAATTGGCTAAATGTTTTGCTTAGACCATAGATTCCTGATTTTGAGATCAAAATCAATGCAGGAAAAACTCCGGTAACAGAGAGAGGTGCAGTTGCCGCTCAGGTGCAAGTTTAATTGATCAGTTAATATCATACCTCAGTCTCCCTGGGCTGATTTGTAAGATCACAAATGGTTCCGTTTGTATATTGATGGGCATGATACCTGCATATGTCGTATGGTATGACAATCAGCACTAATTTTTCTTTTTGGATATAGACTATCAGTACTTTTTGCTTCTCCTTTTCTATCTATTGCGAAAAGATTTTCCTAAAAGATGCTATTCACAATTACAAGAAGTACATCAGAAAAAAAATAAATTGAAAATTGCAGTGCCACTTGAACTGCTAACAATCTTGAGGTCATACCTTTGCGATGCATCTTTTGATCGAGGATCTTTCAATGTAGAGACGTCTGAAAGATTCTGGTTAAAAGCAGCAGTGGCTTCCGCATCGTATACACCTAAGACAAATTCCTGAACTGCCTGTATTGGACAAAATGGAGATTCTACTTGTTATCTAAGATTAAACTTTTGCTGCTGCAAAAGAACCTTTTAATTTATTTAGATAATCAGGAAAGAAGAAAGATGCCATCACCAAAAAAAAAAACAGAAACAATTGTCCAAAATGATTAATAAGAGATAGCTTCTGCTGCTCCTGTAACTATTTCTATTTTTAACCTTTAAAAAAAAAAAAATCTACTGCTAACACTTTGTATTTCTGTAACGATCAGTGGAAGAAGTAGTTCAGATAAGTTGCAGATGAAATCCTTCAATAACCATCAGCAACATAACTTCAGAAGTTCAGAACTTTTATGTTTATGACACTTTGCTCGTCAAATGCACTGAGCAGTAACAATGCACTTCATCTCATAAAGGAATGGTGTTTTTCTCTCTTTTTTCAGTCTTTTGGATAGATGATGAAGAAAAGCATTGAAACGGGAAGGCAAAAAAAGAGGTTTTCGAGCAAAAAATAGCATACATGTTATGAATGAAAAAAGAAAAAGAAAGAAGCAGAAATAGAACAAAAGAAAGAGAGAACTAAGAAAAACAGAATAAGCTAAGACCAAAACATAAACTCCTGTTATTTAAAATACACTGCGAAGGAAAGCACATATTTTTAGCATAAAATATGAGAGACACCCATATGAGGCTACCTTATCATCTTCCAAGTGAAGCTGCCGTAGCTTCTTCTCATAGCAAAATTCATAAGACCACCAACCCTCTTGCTGTGTAAAAAGAGAAAGTAAAAACGTTCAGAATTTTACAATAGGCAAAAACAAGAAGGGAATAAAGAATTTTGTAGTCTACTTTCAGGACATCTATAAACTATTATCATAAATAAATGAGAAACACTAAATACAGGATCCTTACTCTGATAAAGCAACGATCTTTCAATACTTCAAGTAGTTCATCTGGTGTCTTCAATTTGACCCGTTTCTCAGTTTCTACAATCATATTGCTAATGTTATGCATGCTAGATGGCTTTCCACTCTTGGCTTTCTCCACTTTCGGCAAGAAACATTTGAAATTTGGCCCATTTTTATTGGCCATAACAATGGATTCCTGATCATCATCCTGAAAGATAATATGGACCAAGTATTATTTACAGTAGACACCAGTACTGCAGCAAACAGAAACACACAGATTAAGATTGAAACAGATGTGGACTATAATGACAAACTTGCCCCACGATGGAGTAAGAAGTCACAGGTCGAGATGAGTGCAAAATGATGCTTAACATGCTCGAGCCACTCCTTGGTGCCTATAATTAATGATATTTTATACTTGTTATTTCGAAAAAAAAAATGCTTAAGCCACTTACAGGATGAAATGGTGAGTCTTCAAGGTGGAACTCGACCCTATACTTTGGCTCATGAGAGCTGCGACTAAGTGTACCACCTGGTAATGGATTAAAATGATAGAGAAATCAAATTTGAAGGAGAGAAGACAAACCATATGATAAATCCAAAAGATGAAAAACATGGAATTCAAATTGCTGTTGAAGAAGTCAACCAGCAATCCCATTACTCTCTTGATCTCTGCCAACAGATAAATCCCATTATCCCCATTTCCCCACTATCCCATGTCCTAGTTCATGTTCTTTTTCCATTATCTTAGTTGCTTAAAAGTAGGAACATCAGTCGTATTTTTCGTATATTTAAAGCTGTCAATGAACAACAATGAAGGAAGACAATTTTTGAATAAAAACTTATGGTTTATTCTCACCCTAAGAGAATTTCTTTACAAATTTTCATTGCCTTCTGACTGGGACTTATCACCATAGAAATCACATGCAAGTCTATAACAAATTGTGGGATTTTTAGTTTACCATTGATTTGTTGTATGTTCATATTTAAGTAGGGTATTTTACGGTATAGTTTTATTTTCTTAGGAAACTTTGCAGATTAGAAAACTTTACTCGAGTCTTCTATTGTTTTAGGAGAACTTAGCGTGTACAAGAATTTTCTTTTTGGTAGTGTACCTTTAGCATTCCTATGCTCTATATAAGCAAAGGTGTAGCATAATATTAAACAGTTTTATTTAAAGGCAAACAACAGTGGAGCAGAGGAGACAAGGCACAAAGGGAGGGCTGCCGGTTCACAAAAGAATGATTTACAAAGAAGAGAAGTCAATTGTTTCAAAAAAGATCCCTTATTTCAAAAAAGATTCTCCGTAATGGAAAGAGGATAACCTTTAAGAATTTATTCAAGGCATGGAATCAGGAGTCCCTAACCTACGAGGATGAGAAATCAATCTATCAAAGGCTCTCCCATATCTTTCACGGCAAGTAACCCAAAAAATAGCCAAGGGATGAGGAAAAGGATGCTTTTGCATTCCCTCAAGGCTGAATATCATCCCTCACCGAAACTCTGTTGAAAAAAAAAAAACTATATTGGCTAGGTGTACATGGTTCGACAGCAATTTCATGATCAAGACTTTACTTGCCAACGAAGCTGATTGTTCTAATAGGACTAATCTTGGTTTTTATTAACCATACTCAGAAGCAATAACTTATCCCTACTACTACAACTACTCATTACTGATCAAGCATGATCCACCAAGACCGAGAATCATCTTGTGATTGACTTCCTACCAGGATTTAACTTCATGATTGGGCACAGAATTCCTAACAGTGTCAATTGTGACATCATAAAAAAATCTAGGCCTAAAGTTCCTAACCTTTACAAGAAAAATGAAACATCACTAGTAGAATTCTTTTAAGATTTAAAACAACATTGCATCAACTCCATTAAGCTCAATCAAGTGACTCACCTATATTAAATCCCAGAGCTTAAGAACCTGTGCATACATTAAACCTATTTATTTTGACTGAAGGATGAGAAACCTAGCGTTCATCTAATTCCATTTGGTAATAAAAGTTGAATAAATTCCATAACCACAAGTCAAGATTTTCCTTCTCTTATTCTGCTTCTCATCTGAATGAGAAAGAATTATCACTTTATGTTACCACAGATCACGCAGCAATAAAGTTCTTCATAAAACATAATACGTAACAACACTAACTAGGTTTCAGATATTCTCTACATTCTTCTAGTATCTAACCTTGCGAACAAATAAGCCTCTCTTTGCTGAACAACCGAAACGTGAACCCCCAAACGTTTAGATAATTACTTATTCGAGATAAAGTAGGCACAAGAAATCCTGATTAACTGCTACAATCAAACTCATAATCTCCGTTCTCCATCTCAACCAGATATATTTAGATACATGAATTCCAATTGAAAAAATAAAAAAGTAATGGAAACTGCATAGGTCGTCGAAATATTATACACTTGAAATTGAATGATGTTATCCAAAATGGATTAATAAAACATGAAATTGGGATTAAGGAGACGATTAGCTTACCGATATGTGCAGGGAAGATTTGATCAGCTAAAACACGGTTGCATAGAGTGTACGAAACTACCGCCAAATAAAACAGTAACCTCATTATTTTACCCTAATGATTTGAAAACCCTAAAAAGCGCACCAGAAGCCCCTTCCCAAAGAAGAAGAAGAAGAAGAAGGAGCTCCTCTACTCCTCAAAGCTCCAGCTTTGAGAAGGAGTTGTCCGCATCTGGCTTACGACATCTCGACGTAGATTAACCAATAATAACTTGCCATGTAATCCAGTGATCGGTCAAAAAGTCAACGTACCGATCTGACGTGGCTTTATTTATTAATTTATTAAAAAAAAAAGAAATCATGGGCCGTCGTCCAAGTAGAATATACCTTGTGGGCTCATGCAATTCAAGGATATTATAATTATATATTTCCTATAAATTATATATTTATAGTTATTTGCAATTTAAACTAACTTATAATATATAACAAAATAATTATATTTAATTAATAATGTAAATAAAACATAGAAATATTTTAATATTTGAGAAAAAGTTAAATTCTTTTAAAAAATATTTTATAATAATTACACTTATTCAATTAAAGATAATCATAATTAAAATAAAATTTAATATATCCTCTACACTCGTAAATAATTAAGATAGACAATTAAGTTAAAAATATTTAATTAGCAATAATTTGATGCATAAAAAATATTTAAAGTAAAGATATGATCGATTATATAGTTGTATAATGATTAAAAATTAAGTGACTCGAGTGGTGTAACTGAGATTAATGATGCTTTGTGTTTATCTCCCATATTTTTTTTTATCGAGTTTGATATTATAAATACATATATTATTTTGTACTATAATTACAATAATCGATCGTCACTTTTATTATTTTAAATATTTAAAAAAATATATTTTTTAATCAATTATTATTGTACAATAAAAAATATATAAATTATTACGTCAATTATATTTTATATATAATAATTATAAGATAATATAAATAATTTATAAATAAAAATATGTACAGAACAATTTAGAATTTTGAGTCAAACACGTAACGCATTTAACTTGTTAATTAAGCTAAATTGTGCAATTAACACTTTAATCTCATACTTGTAAATTAAGTTATAAAAAGGAGACGGTGACGGCGTCAACAAGAAGCTACGCGTTTGTCCAAAAAGCGCTAAAAAAGTGGCGCGAAACGGAACAGCCGTCTGTCGACCGTTTACCGTTTGCCGTTACTTGGCATAAGACGGCAACCGCAAGTCATTTCGTGATTGGCAGGTTTGTTGGCCCCACTAAAGTACGTTACTTTACGTTCACGTGTTTCGCTTTTTGGATAACATGGAGACAAACAAGTTGATGGGTCCCACAAATCCCTAATCATATATATATATATATATATATATTTCTTATAACCACAATTTTTTAAAATAAAAAAATAAAAATGGCGGTCCAAAAATGTTGTGAGGTGTTAAATTAAATTAAATTAAATTAAAAATATATAAATTAAAAACATTATAATTTCAAATTTTTATTATAATTTAGAAATTTAAATTTGTAAAATTTTAATAAAGTTAATTTTTTTTTGGGTTATTTCTTATTATGTTATTAATAAATTTCGAAAGTAAAAAAAATAAAAAATTAACACTATTAAACATAATAATACCAATTAATTTATTTTATTTAAGTCACGAAATATTAATAACAAAGCATAAAGCAAAAAAAAAAAAGAGATTATTTTTAATTTTTAAAATAATTTTTATCTTATCTAACTAATACTATTAAAAAATTAAAAAAATTTAGCTTTAAGACAATTTTATAAATTAATTAAGTTATATATATATATATATTATAAATATAATATTGTAGCTAAATTGTCACTAATATATGATTTAGAAATTAATTTTCTAATATGTTTTAAAGTTAAATTCTTTGAAAATAAAAATTTATTGTAGAGTTTTTCTTTCATTTATTAATGAAAAAAAGTAAAATAATAAATATTTTAAAAAATAACTCAAAAAATATAATGTTCACTAATTAATTAAATTAATAAATGAATAATAGTAGTTATTATTATTTTTTAAAAATTCAAATAAAATTTATGGTGTATATATAATATTTTTTTAATTAATAAAAAATGAAAATAATTGCAAAAAATATTTAAAAATTATTGTTGACTAAAATTATAAATAACATGTTGAGAAGTGACTGGCGACAGAATGAGAGCTGATGGCAAATGGCTCTGGCAAGAGTTAAATATATCTTCCAGATCTTTACCTTCCACCTTCTGATCCAACGTCCCCAAGAAACTTGGAATCAATGGGGAGAAAAAGTTGAGAAGAATAAAAAATTTGATTGATTTTATTGTATATAAATTTCAATTAAGATGGAATCAAAGAGAAAATTTTGTTATTTTTGAAAAAAAATTTTCTGTTCTCTCAGCTTTTTGTGGCGTCTACGCGAAGCTTATGAAAATCTTAGACATTACAAAAGACAGAGAAAAACGATTGGTCGGTTTTCCTTCCATTTCTCTGCAAACCCACCAAAAGTTTCTCTGCGCTTTCTCGCCTGCATTTTCCCGGAAAAAATTTTGAAGCTTCATATGGAAAACTCAATCCCCAGATAAGTTTTCTGCTGTCTTTTATGTTTTCATGGGAGATAAAGCTTTAAAAAGCGTGTTCTTCTTTTTTAGTTGATTTAGGGCCCTGTTCGTTTCTCTCTAAATTGGGATTTGTTTGTTCTTTCATAAGCAAATGACGCATCCCGATTTGGAGAGGTAAAAAAAAAAAAAAAAAAAAAATTCAGGTTCTTCTTCCGCTTATGAATTTTGGTGTTCTTCATCCATGTTGGTTGGTATGCTGAGAGAACAAGATATTTGGAAGCTAAAGGAATAAAAAGTGGGATTTTGAAGTGGTTTTTGTGAGAATTCACTGCAAATTTGAGAGTTCCTGTTCAATTGGTTTGAGAGTTTTTTTATGGGTTTTGGTGTGGTTTGTTTTCTGGTTTACCTCATGAACAATTACATTGGGTGCTGAATATACTCCTTAAAAAGAGGAACTTTTGAGAAAGGAATTGATGGTTTGTGTTTCTTGCCAATTTAGCTGAGGTTTTATGTATATAAGACTCCTGAGAAAGGATGGTGTATCTTATATGAGAACTTGGTCTTGATTGGCCAGGTTGTCTTTGGTTTCTGAAGGGTTTAATTGAATCTGAGTTAAGTGATTTGGTTTGAGGGTTGAGTGTATAATAATCAGCTGGTTTATTGTGGTTTCAATTGTTTTGTTCTGCCATGGGGAAGCAAAGTGGAAAGAAGAAGAAGCAGACTGGAGAGCAATCTAGTGATGGTAATATGAAGCAAAGCAAAGTTGGGGATAATAGCCCAAGAGCATATGACAAGGATACTGCAGTTTTTATTTCCATGGCCCAAGAATCAAAGGATGAGGGTAACAAGATGTTTCAAAAGAGGGACTATGAAGGTGCTATGATGAAATATGAGAAAGCCATCAAATTGCTTCCAAGGAACCATATAGATGTATCATATCTTCGGAGTAACATGGCTGCATGTTATATGCAGCTGGGTCTGAGTGAGTACCCTAGGGCAATCCATGAGTGCAATTTGGCTCTAGAAGTGACACCCAAGTATAGTAAAGCATTGATAAAGAGGGCGAGATGCTATGAAGCTTTGAATAGATTGGATTTGGCTCTGAGAGATGTTAGTACAGTTTTGAAAGTGGAGCCAAATAACTTAATGGCCTTGGAGATCTCAGAAAGGGTAAAGCAGACACTAGAGAATAAAGGGTTAAGGGTGAATGACACGGTGATAGAATTGCCTCCGGAGTATGTTGAACCTCTTAGTGCTTTGCCTGCGCTAGAAGTTGTGAAAGAAAAGACAAAGAGGAAGAAGAAGAAAAACAATGTTGGAGAGAAGAAGGTTGTGGATGACATTGTGAAGAAGAAGGCTGAGGATGAGGCTGTGGAGAAAAGGGCCGGGGATGAGCTTGTGGAGAAAAGGGCCGGGGATGAGGTTGTGGAGAAGAAGGCTGCAGACAGGGTTGTTGAGAAGAAGGCTGGACAGAAAATTAAGAAGAAAGAGGTTGAAGAAAACATGGAGGAGAAGAAGGCTGAGGATAAGATTGTTGTGGAGGAGAAAATCAGTAGTAAAAATGTTGAAGAATGTAAGAAGACTGTGAAATTGGTCTTTGGAGAGGATATTCGATGGGCTGAGTTGCCTCTTAATTGCAGCCTTCTTCAACTAAGGGAAGTTATTCATGATCGATTTCCAAGCTCGAGAGCACTTCTCATTAAGTACAGGGACCAAGAAGGTGATTTGGTCACAATCACCAGGGATGAAGAACTGAGATGGGCTGAAGCAGCAGTAGAGTCACCGGGTTCTCTTCGGCTGTATATAGTAGAAGTTAATCCTCAGCAAGATCCATTTTTTGAGAGGCTTAGGAATGAGGTACCTATTCATCATATTCAACAAAAGAATGTAACCCTGAATGGGGATATAGGCAATGCTAAGGGAACAGGAAAAGGTTCATACTATATTGATGAGTGGATAGTTGAGTTTGCTCAGCTATTTAAGAACCATGTTGGATTTGATTCCGATAAATATCTGAATCTTCATGAACTAGGTATCAAAGTATATTCTGAGGCCATGGAGGAGACAGTTACTAGTGAAGAAGCACAAGACCTTTTCAACAGAGCAGCTGAGAAGTTCCAAGAAATGGCAGCGTTAGCATTTTTCAATTGGGGAAATGTTCACATGTCTAGAGCCAGGAAGAAGTTGAGCTTTCCAGAAGATGCTTCAAGAGAGTTTGTACGTGAACAGATAAAAACAGCATATGACTGGGCTCAAAGAGAATATACAAAAGCAGGGCAGATATATGAAGAAGCACTGAGAATCAAACCAGATTTCTATGAAGCCCTTCTAGCCCTGGGTCAGCAGCAGTTTGAGCAGGCTAAACTTTCATGGTATTATGCACTTGGTACCCATGTCGATTTGGAAACATGGCCTTCTACACAGGTCCTACAACTATATAACAATGCTGAGGAAAACATAGACAAGGGCATGCAGATGTGGGAAGAGTTGGAAGGGCAGCAGTTGAATGAAATTTCTAGATTAAAGAAGGATAAATCCCTATCACAGAAAAGACAATTTGATAGTTTATTTGAAGATACAACAGCTGCAGATGAAACGTCAGAAGAGGTTGGTAACATGAAGTCCCAGATAAACCTCTTGTGGGGGACCATACTTTACGAACGGTCCATTATGGAATACAAACTAGGTCTACCAGTCTGGCAAGAATGCTTGGAAGTTGCAGTTGAAGTTTGAGCTTGCTGGAGCTTCTCCAACAGATATTGCTGTCATGATAAAGAATCACTGCTCTAATAACCATGCTCTACAAGGTATGAAATTCAAAATATGGCTTGGGAATCATTATAAAGCTTGAAAATGTTTTTGATCGTCTTCCATTGTTGCAGGTTTGAGTTTTAGAATTGACGAGATAGTACAGGCATGGAATGAGATGTGTGAAGCCAAAAAGTGGAAACCTGGGGTTCCATCATTTCGACTTGAACCATTACTTCGTCGGAGAGTTTCAAAACTTTATCATGCATTAGAGAACGCATGAGTTACTTTCGGGGGTAACTAGTGGTACAAATACTCACTTTTAGAGCATCAGGGTCAAAGGAACATACTCTTGCTTTCTGAGGTAAGCAGCTAGTAGCACAAATGAAGTTATGCTTCTTCTGCACTGTTCATTTAAATATATTCCAACTGCATTATGCATAAAGCTAAGAAGTAAGTTCCTCTATAATTATAATGTAAGAAAACCGAAATTACAGTGTGCATTTGAGTTGAAGGTTTTACCGGTAAGATAAGAGTACTATGAAATACTTGCTTAGCTGGTTAGATGCTTTATCTTAGTGTCTTACTTACTGATATTGATGAATACAAATATTCTTTGGCTCTTCTTTTGTCCTTTTTGGTTATGCTCTGTTGAAGGAAATACTTCATTATATGATATGAAGAAACTAGACTTGGGTATTTATTTTTCTTAAAAATTTAGACATGAGCATTTTTTAAAAAATAAAATATAATTCAACAGTATGCAGAATTCTTTGTTTCCAGTAGTATCCAGAAATAGTGGAGAGGAGTAGTTTTTAAGTAGGATCCTCTAGTTGGTTGGTTATGAAAAGACCAGATCATTTCTGATCAATGTGGAAAACTGGTAAAAAAAAAGGAATCCTAACCACACTTCTTTCTGGATATAGCAATTCACAGTCTGAACTACCGTTATATCTTTCCTTACGTTGTAATGAATGTTAGTTTCACTACATTTTATACTAATAACTAGAGTTTTTCTCTACTGTTGAAATATATATTTATTTTTATCTTGAAAACCTGAGATTAACCCTCAAATGGAGTAGGTTACCTTAACCGAATCACATCCGGGTTCTTTACTTTTCTGCTTTGATCCATTCCTATATTGGATAACATGCCTGCAGCTGCTTGATGATTAGTTATTTAAGCTCTCAAGGGCATAATCTCTTGCAGGGCACAGGTTTCTAACAGAGTTTAATCTTTGGGTTATCTTATTTTGTTGTGCAGGTTTCTTGTCATTTAAACTTTGTAGTTTCAGTTTCAGTTTTGTAAAGTTCTGTAGAAGAAGGAGATGGATGCTTGGTAGTTTTGAAGCTTAAAAACTGTTGTAATAGTTCTGACAAGAGGGGTTCAGTTAGTACTTCATGAGGGGTAGGAGGAGATGATGAAGCAGCTGGAACTCACCTTTTTTGTCAGTTCCTGAACTTCATTGGTTACCTCATCCCTCACCCTCTACACTTTCAGGTGAAAAAAGCAAACAGATTGTCATAGTTGTAATTCATTCCTTTGGTAGTTATAATAATATACTGCTTGTTTTTCTTTTCTTGATTATTCATCTAATTCCAAATATTGCCTTAGAAGTGTATGACTAAGCTTCCCAGAAAAAACTGTAGAACTATGAGATTTCAGTATGGAATTTGGTCATGATGAATAATGAATTCATTTGTTAGGAGAGAGGAAAAGGGAAAAAAAAAAAAAGACTACTTCCTGTTTAACTAATAAAAAATAAAAACTATGTTACTTTCATTGAAACAGAAAATCCACCCAAAATATAATGACATATCTGCAATATTATTGAAGAAAATATGAAATATATCAAATTCAGATAGAATCCATTGAATTCCCATTTCAGGACAGGTAAACTAGTTTGCCAACATATGTACAACTTCTGCAAATAAAGAGATCCAAATTCAAAGGCTAGCGATATTCACATGGATTGATACATAAAATCTGAGAATTTGTCCCAGTTCCCTGGCTCCATTGCAGAGAATGGGAGGAATTTACGTCTTCATATTAACTTAATCAAGCTGTACATGAGACTTCTTTGATAGCAACCTATATACAACTGGGTCCAAAGCTACTCTGCCCTGAAGCTCACCAGATTAGGCAGGGCAGTTGCTTGAAGCTTCCTAATTTCAGATGCTGTCACCTTGCATGACTCCAAAGAAAGCGAACGTAGATTCTTCAAAGGCTTAAGATACTGCAACCCCTCATTGGTTACGCGAGAATTTGAAACATTTAGCGAAACTAATTCAGTTAATCCTGCATCAACGCAGAATATAGAAAAATAAGAAATCTTTCCAATCTTCCAGCAAGACACAGATGCTATGAAACTTGAAGTTGTATGCTTTATTCATAACGTTTGGCAATATCAAAAGAAAGGCACTATGAAACTTGGAGTTGTATACTTCATTCATAATGCTTGGCAACATCAAATTCGTAAATTTTTTAGTGAAATATCATAAGCATGTCCGTCCTCGCAACCAAAGGCAAAACAAAATAAACCTGCAGAAGAATTTTGGCATAAAGTTTTCTGATTTTACAGGGCGTTCACAAGTTATTAAGCCAGTTATCTCTACTAAAACTAAGACAGAACACATATTTCTCATCAGCGTTCTTATCTGTTTGTTGCTGGTCTTTTGGCAGCACCATATTGCATAACCACGTGCCTAAAATTTAAACCCAGCTGTCTAACGTTTTTGCGCGTATTATTTCTAAGAGTATGATTTCTCGTATTTTGCAATAGATTAGAGCACCAAAAAAGTTCAGACATGACCAGAGTTCATATCTGGTGGCTAGGGCTTTCTCTCTTCTCCGATTAAGGTAGCTAAATAGGGTAAGGATGGAGAGACATATAGCCACATATATAGAAAGAATCTACAAGGTTCAATGGCCCTCTATCAACTGTTGGAATTATAAATAAAAACAGACCTCTAAATTATGTCAGCACAGTAAATGTTATAACATGACATTAATAAATCTTATACACTTGGGCGTATTACACAGTTGAGCTTTGTATATCTCTTTTATCTCTTAGTAAGGTATGTTAATTTTTATTCGGTCCATTTGTGAAATAAATAATCAATGCAAGCTTAAATATTGAAAAACCGATCATTCCAAATAAACTTCCAACATTATCAATTACTAAGCATGTAGAGATATTTTACTTGTAAAAACTGTAGTAAGACCCCACATCGTAAATGGCACTAAGCAGAACATACCAGAAAGCATTTCTAAAGTTCTGTCTGTGAGGTTGTAGTTTTGTGAGAGGTTCAACAGTTTAAGGGAGGCAAGATCTTTGATATTCTTCACGCCAGCATCAGTTAGTCCTCCACCACATATTTCAAGAGAATGAAGATTCTTCAAGTCTGCTTGGCACAAAGGAAGAATGATGATCACAAAAAACATAATAATCCCTCTTGACATGTAAAGATAGCCATGAAAAAACTGTTCAAAGGGGAACATTTCATCATCATATAGAAAGGAGCCTAACTAAGTTATCACTCAATAGAAAAACAGAAGCACCCATGTTGATGTAGAGTAATCACATAATCAAATGGATCAGAAAAATTGGCAATAAAATTAAAAATGTTCAAATATCAGAAATACTCTGCAATAAGAAAATTTTACCTTGTTTTTATCAAAGAGTATATATGGGCAGTATATGCATGTGTGCAAAACATCAGAAAGAAAAGGAGAAGAATTTCTCATATATGGTATGCAAAAAGGCTACAAAAAGGAAACTTCTAAGTCCAAGCAAAAATTCATTATCTAAGGAGCATAGGAAGTCGAAAGGATCAAGAATTTGAGCTTTTCTTTGAAGTGATAACTTGAACAATTAATTATTTGTTTCTTAATTATTGTGTAAATGCATCTTTTCCCCTGAGGTAGCAGGGGTGAGGAGAGATGGAGAATAAGTGATTAGTTTATGCATCATGTCTTCAACATACTTCGCAAATAATTTGTCCCACGATCCGAAATGCGAGCGCCGAAAAGATCCAGATGCATCAATCCAGTCAGATCTGCACCAGCAAAAGTGTTCAAGAAAAAAAAAGAAAACATATTTGGAAGTACAGCAAAATAGCATTATGGCACAATTTGGAATTTAGCCTTTTAGATGGGATAGATTGTAGAATCCAGGTTAAACTTGATACACTCATAAACACAATAGTATAACAAAATAGTGAAACATAAATCAGAAAGAACCAGATTATAAAACAACAAAATTAAAAGAAAAACATGGGTAATACTGCATGAAGTTACATCACTGTACTAGGAAAGGAATGCAAATGGGCTAGATGTGAACATGACGCTGTCAAAAATTGCTCACAATTTTACATGGGCCTTAGTCTAGGCATTAAATAAAGCTTCCGTAGAAAGGAGGCAAGAACATTATCCCAATCAAAAGTGTGAACTCTTAAACAAAACATATTACCCTAACTAACCATGCTAAAAGTATAAGCAGTCTGGAATGATTCTAGAACCACATAAAAATTCTTGCATTGAGAAGCATGGGGCAGAAAGAATTAAAGAAGCTTACTTGTCAGAAAGGCAAGACCAGCATCTGTAATTTGGCGAGCATCCAGATTAAGTGATTTAAGTGATGTCAGTCCAGACAATCTTCTCAACCCTCCATCAGTTACTAAGGTGAATGACAGGTTTAAGTTTTCAAGATGAGTCAAACCTAAGCAAACGAGTATACAAGTTAGGATGTAGGATAAAGAGAGGTAGAATACAAAGCAATATCTCAATAACCAAAATTGGAGGTCTCAGATCTCAATAACCAAAGAAATATCTCGATATTTGAATAATAATCATAAATACTCTAACCTAATAACTAAGTTAGGTATCTTATTTATACGTACCAAATACATCAAAATAGGAAATCTAGAAAAATAAGAAATAGGTTAAATAAAAGGCCAGAGAAACAGGAAATCTAGGAAATAGGAAAACAAATTACCATTTTCCTTTATTAAAAACTTTCCAAAACTTAGAAAAGGAAATTAAATTTTTGTATTCCTTTTAGTAAACTTCCCAAAACATTTATGTTCCATTATTGAGTCTGTATCATATTTTTTATTATTAAAATATGTCCATTTAGAAGCGTTCTGTTCTGTATCAGGTCAACTTATGTATTTAACAGTTCTGCGAACTGTCTGACCATGCATTCAAAAGTTACTAGCAACTGAAAATTGGTCAATCAGAATCACATTTACAAGATATGCACATACAAGCCTTAAAAATATTCTCTTTTAGAAATAGAAGAAATCTAGAAGTGTAGCATTTTTATTAGATATTGTCCTAGAAAAATAAGAAAAAGGCATAATGATACAAATGTCAAGATATCAAGCAGAAATGAAATGCTAACCAGAGAGATGACTCAGCCCATTGCTTCCTACTTCAGTATCAGACAAGTCCAAACTCTTCAAGAGTGGAAGACCTTAAAGCAGACAATGTAGACAGAAATCTTCATGTTAAACAAATATTTCAATAAATCTTGATTTAGAAAAATTATCCCCTGAGATTACAGGAAGAAAGAGTAAGGAAAATAAATAGGAAAACGGGACACTGGGATATAGTTCCTGCAAAACGCATTTTTCCATTTGCCTGCTAACACTAGCATATATGATGAACAAATTTATAGTTGTTCCTGTGAGATTACAGAAAAATATAAAGAAAATCTGAAATTCTTTAAAAAATATTTAATAAAATCAATAGCCGTGGAATTTTTTTTTCCTTTTCAAAGCTTTTCTTCTTACTTCGACAGCCTAACAAAAATAGAATGAATACTACTAGCATGCAGCAGTTGAGATCAATCTGCAAGTTCGTTTATTTCAGATTCAGTTCAAATCACAAACACTAAGAATATGTTTTTTTTAAATAACACAAAAATTAAGAATATTGATACAAAGCTCCCAAAGTACCAGGTGCTGTCATTTCAGAATAGTCCGACTTATGATTTCCTTCAATTATAATATTCTAACTCAATTTTTACAGTGATCAAAGGTACGGGTTTAAAGAATCTAAGATGTGTCAATGAAGCAGTTCATAGCTCATTTAAATACTCTCGAAGAGATTTCAGTTTTGATTTTCCATTATAATTTTTTTTATAGGAAAATTTCCTTTACAAATATATGTGCAGCATAAAGTTACTGTGACTAACTTCATTTAAAGACCTCAACCTCACATAACCCAGTAACTTTTAATTTCCAAAGAATTAAGGTTCTTATCGGTTGTTTCGGTTCTTCAAGTTGAAGTTTTGAGAAGGAAGTCTTATTCTCCACATTGTATTTTCTCTCTTTTCCTAATAATAATTTTTCTATTAAAAAAATAATAATTCAAGAATTAAGATCGATCCTTAAGACAGGATAAATGCCCTTGAGAGCTGTCAATTCGCATACACAAGGAGGATTGTTGAGAAGGTCCAAATACATGCCTTTCTAAAAGTAAAGGTTCGCTGTCCTATTCTGTAATCGAAAGGCACTTTATTATAAAGCAAAATGCAAAAAAGTCTTAATAGACAGTTGCCCCACCCATCAGCAGCAACATAAGCATCAATAATGAAATTGGATTTAGTAGATAAACGAAAGAGAAAACCTGTTAAATTAGCGAGTCCTTCATCACCAATCCTACAAGAGTCCAAGTTCAAGCTCTCCAACTTTGTCAATGCTGCAAAGAAGCATTATAGGAATATATAAGCATTCTGAAGAGAATTTTACTATGCTTACGTATTGATATTTCTCAAAGTAAAATTTTGAAGCCACCATAAGCAATATGATAAAAACAGAAAAGAGAGCTCCTATGTTGAGTGTTACATGAGAAGTTACAAGGCAAGACTTTCTTAAACTAGATGAGGGAAACCTAATTGCTGGGACAAAACTCAAAGGTAATTGGGGAATTTTCTTTTTGGTGGTAGTGGGTGTGTGGTGTCTTTTTAATACATATCAGCATTTCCCTTCTTCCTTTGAGATATTTTTCTTTGTGTGTGCACGCGTGTGCATGCAAGTGTGTGTACAAGCAGCGGCAGGGACGTGGGCGTGGGCTTCTATGTGTTTTAGGTATTACATGCTTGTGTTATGTGCTTGTCTGTGTGAGTGTGATCACATGAGAGAGAGAGAGAGAGAGAGAGAGAGAGAGAGAGAGAGAGAGAAACCTTTTAGGTGCACCAAACATGCATCTGTTATATTATTGAATCCCAGGCTCAATACCTTCAGGTTCCTAAGTCCTGCAGAAGCATAGTCAATGTAAACAGCATAATAATACCTTTCATTCTATGCATTTACCATGACACACAATGAATCAGACCTACTGATTGAAACCAACCTAGTTTTACTTACCTGAAAATTTATCACACCCATCATCAGATATATTGCATCTGTTGAGATTCAAGTATGACAAGGCAACAAGAGCTGCATATTGACATAACTAGCTTAAATCACTATATAGAAAAGAAATGTGCCGCTTATTGAATGGAACACTGGATGCTATTCCACACCCATCCCATCCATCTCCACCCTCAAAGAAAAGGACACAAAAAAGATCGTGCATATACTTCCATAAAAGTTATGTCTCAATGCAACCAACTGTTTGGCTCTTTTATCTCATTTACAAGCTACATCTAAAGAACTTAAAGAACTATGAACAGCGAGTGAATCCTCAGAAAATTAACCTGAAAGTGTATCCAGACATTCAGCAGTAACATTGCATCCCTCCAAGTTCAACATATGTAGCTTGCCCAAACCTACCAAGGAGAAATAAAGATCAAATCAACATTGCACCCAAATTAAGTGGAATTGCATCAAACTGCACAATGACACTGAGAAAACTAACTAAACAGACAAAGAAAAACTGAAAAAAAGAGCCAAACTGACATAATTTAAAACAAGCCCCTACCAGAAAAGAACATAAAGCCTGTCATTTTGATACAAGAATACAGCATTAACACACAAATCCAAAAAGGCAAAAAGAATAAACCAGAACTCAAAATACTTGGGAATGGAGAGCCCCACATTGCATATTAAGAATAGAGTCGAGAAAGATACTGTTTATGAATAATGATTTTGAAACTTCAAAACTGTAGTACTCTTTTCAAGTTGTGTATTAACTAATACTACTTCCAGTAACTCTCTACACTATGCAGTACCACTTGCCACAAGAATAGAAACATTAGATCTCAAAGGCTCTGATGACTTTCGCTGATTTCTGATAGGGATACCCAAAAAAAGAACCTTCTTAAGTTATTATCCTCTTGTCAGTGTATTAGCAACTATCTTTTCCTGCTTTTAATTAATTTCTTTACAAAGATCTTCACAAGTACCTTATCTGAAAAAGGGGAAAAAATATAACAAATACAAGAAGAAAGGAGGGGTTCTTGCATGAGTGCAGCATACATAAAGACTATAAATACAAGAGGTTCAGAAGCACAACAGTCCTGGTTAAAGTACACTTCTAATATAACAAGGGGAAAGAGAGCATTGGCAAGTACCTCTCAAATAAGAAACTCCGGAATCTGTAATGTTAGTGTTCGAAATTTGCAACTCCTTCAGATTAGTAAGACCTAAATATGTTGACCACAACTCAAATCAAATGAGGAGATAAGAAAAGACATATGATGTTTGTTAGTTGTGCATACAGTCATACCATGTCCTTATTATGCTGGGTCACTTGATCTATATGAAGAGAAGTTTTACAAAATAAATTAACATGAGCAGAATATTGCCCACCTGAGAGGACCTTCATATCTGAATCTCTGATACATTTGCAACACCTGATGTTAAGAGATTCAAGCTTCATTAAGCCTACAAAAAGAACAAGTGTCATTTGTATTAAAAAAAAATAAAAGGAAAAAATCACTAGCTAAGATACAAGCTCCAAAGAAAAGTATCTAGCTTCAATCTGTCCAACATTTCATGACGGACAAAATTAATTTCAGTCACTTTTTAACACAATGACAATATTTTTCTCCTTAGCTCATGACCTGCTGCCACTCTCTAATCATGAATATACAATAAACATATTAAGCCTTTTTTTCCTCAATACACCCACATTGTTTACAGGCTTACCAAGAAAAAGATACAAACAATGTAACAGAACATGCAATTGCGTGCAGGTGATCTTAATTGCTTTAAGTTCATTTCCTCCAGCAATAGCAGGACAAGACAATGTTGTATGGATGCCTCTGGTTTCAACCTTAAGAATTTATGAATAAACAATGCTGTGCTGGAAGCAGTACACTAAGAAACTTGCATTTTGATCCAGAGTGGCAATCTGCATCCTATAGTGTCACTTGGAAACAATTTCACACATGACAAACCTTTAAGATGAACGAGCCCACCATGAATCTCAGAACATCTCTCCAAGTCTAACTTTTCCAGGCTAGCTAAGCTGGAAAAGGCACGCATTCCTTCAGCAGTAACAGCATCGCTCTTCTTAAAGCTCAAGGATTTCAAATGCTTAAGATCTAAAATTTTTTAAAAAAGGTGATTGTCATTATCCATTGTACCAGAAAATAGAAAAAGTCAAATAGTAAACAATTCCAAAACATTCTTTAAGCAGTAACTAATAGGAGTATAATGGAAAGTTATATTAAATAAAACGAGCAGAACAGAAAGTTGTTTTATATAAAACTATAACTTGTATTCTTATGCCTTGTATAATTGGGAAGTTAATACATCATAATAAAGATTGTTAATTCTTAATGACATAAAACCCAAAAACTCACTGCTTCTCCACATCCAATAACCAGCACACAGATAGCCATGAAAATTGCAATTTAAAGAGTTGCAATTCTAATATGGAGCATCCAAAGAAAAAATATTAGTATACAGTTGACTTGATGGTATAAACATGGTAATACAAGCCCTTGGCTATAAATGATTCTTTTATCACCCCAAAATGGATATCATTATAGAACTTGGTTTATTATCATTTAATCAACTGCAGAGCTTGACAGTTCAGGCATCCCTAATTTCCTTTCCTCATCCAACCAAAATAGGCCTAGAGCTAACAAACATTAATTATTTCCCAAGCGTTCCCGATATCATTTGATTAGTATAACTGTTTCTCCTTTTGGCCTTTCTTTGTGAGAAAACAAAGAACTACATAAAATGGAAACAAAAAGGAGTAACAAAACATACCAAAAAAGAATTGAACTGTCACCATTTTTTGCATTAGTATCCATAAGTGGATATTCGCTATTTAAGATCAATGACAGAACAGACATTTTACATTCACCCAAGGGATAAGCCCTATTTAAAATGTCAGGAAGGAACAATGTGCACTCTGAAATTCGAGGTTATTATCCATTACAACTATTCGGCAGATTTCTTAAACTTAATAAGTAAAAACTTATTCTCAAAAAATAAAGAAACGAAAAATAAATAAAAACTTTATGATCCTACACAGAAGCATTTGCTCAAGTAGACAAGAAAAACAGTAATATGGCTACTTGTAGAACAAAAAAAATCACATCAAGAGATTATAAACATACCACAATATGCAAAGAAAGACATTCATTAGGTTTAGCAACCATAGAATTCATCAACAGGGTAGCAAACATCATGACAGAGATGATTGTTTGTACAGAAAGAAATAAAGAATTTTACCACTTATATGCATAAGTCCAAGCTGTGTAATGTGATCACAGTAGTTACAAGTTAAGGCTTGCAGGTTCAGGCAATCTTTGAGAAGAGCTAACCCAATATCTGTCACCTCAGAACCAGAAAGATCAACAGCAAGTAAAGATAAACCTTGAGAGGAGATGACATCCATCCAACTATCCTCCACTCCAGGATATTCACCCAACAACACATCCTGCCAAATACATCAAAGTCCTGTAAGCAACATCCATTTGGATGAACCAAAGATGACTTAGTAGCTAAAGAAGAGAGGCAGTACCTGGAGAGCACAATCTCTAAATGCTTCAAGGGAAGTATCTGTTAGACGATGAGAATATACCAATTCATTGAAGATTTGTTGACTTATATCCCTTGGCAGCATTGAAAATGATCCATAATTTTCAATGTCCTGGCCGGTGAACACACCCAAAGTCAAGTAATCGAAAGGCATAGATCTCAAGTAAATGAGCCAAGTAAAGAAAATACCTCTCGTATTTTATAAATGCATAATTCCAAGAGAGAGGAGCAACTGACTCCTCCATGCCGACGATCTGCCACAGGCCAAGAAAATGAGCTTCCCAGCCATTTTGAACTGCTACTTCTGGAGTATCTTCCAGAGACTCCTCTTTGCACCCTATCTTCAATTACCTGTTGGTCTCTTTTCCTTGAACAAATTCCTCCCATTTAAGTACGATCCAGCAAATAATTGGTTAGTATCATGAAATTATCATAGAATTCTGATCCCCGTTTCAGAACAATATTCAGTGCGCTCTGCAGGGCAAACATGGAACCAAAATATACAATAAGCTTGAACTCCATAAATAGAGAAGGAATTTAAATTATAGTATCCCGGCATTGTTCAGAAACAGACCCCTCGGCCATGGATCATTAACAAGCAATAATTCCATTTTGAATTGTAAACGCCAGAATCTAAAATAGCATAAACAATCAACATTATTCACTACAAAACTGAATCAATATCTAATACACATAGCTTACAGCTTCCCCAAGAAAGGCTTCAAAAGGGTATCCACCAAATTCTTATCTTACAAACCATACACTCTAGATTATCAAAAGTTAGTATTAGAAAAGAAGTTTCAGAAAGCACCCACCTAATTCTTACCGTAAGCTGGATTACCAAACATCAATAGTAAACAAGAAGAAACAAAAACCCTCTTTCAAACTTAAAGAATCCGACTTTTCAGACGAAAAAGATGCAGCTGTTATATACTTAAATAATCACAAATTCACCCACACAAATATATACAAACACGTGCCTCTCCTTTAGGCTTTCATCGAAAAAGTTGCGCGTGTGAAAACATACAAAAAAATTCACCACGGTTATCATGTTAAATTCTAAAACTGCAATTACAAAACCGATCATCCATCTTCTTCAAGCTAGACTACTTATTTAGTTAATAAACGGTATCTAGTACTTGAAACAAGAAATCATCAGTCTACTGAGCGCTAAACTCGGTTGGATTCCGAGAGAGAAAATAAATAGACAGAGGCCTGGAGAACCAGAACTTTACCTGAATTTTCCGGGGTGAAAAAGCAAAGAAAAAGAGGTAGCAAAATGGAAAATCTTCCAGATGATCAAAGGAACTAATTAGAAAAAAAAAAAAAAGAAAAAAGAAAAGAGTACGTATATAGAACGATGAACGGACTCAACTGGAAGAGATCAGAGAATCTCAGCGTAGAAGACGAAGCAAAGAGTAAGTCTACAGAGAGGAGGAAACTGCCACTCCAGGGAAGAAGAGCCAAGGGGAAGGAAGAAAGGAGAAGGAGAGATGAACCGTTAGATGATCGACACGTGGCAAGCGGCGGGGTAGGAGGGAAGGGGAACTGGTGAGTGACGGATGGGATAAGAGAAAAAATAGGACACGTGGGTCCCGTCTGCTGCTTTCTCTCTATCTATCTAATCTGCTTTTTCATTCCCACGTCAACACAATCGTACAATACAATGTAAGCGCTTTCCTTAAGAGGCTAAACGCTGTCGTTTTACTCCTCATATTGGGGGTTTGATCATCGCTTTCTGAATTCTCTGTTCCGTAGAAGTAGTGCAGAGGGAATTTAATAAGAACAGTAATACAATGCACAATACGTATTTTCTTTACAGTTATCTCTAAATTTTATATTAAGATTGTATTTGATTTAAATTATAATTCTATAAAATCAGTATATATATCAAGTTCTTAAGAACTTATAATTCATTTTCTTGATCGCATTATATTTAAGAAAAGAATAATCTTGATATCAAATCGAGTTAAAGACACTGTGATAGAATTCAAACACACGGTCCCGATTTAAGAATATATATATTCGGGTTTGAGAGAGAGTGGAAGAAGAAACAGTATTTGAGAGAGATAAAGTGAGAGAATGAGAAGAAATGTACATAACAAGAAAAAAGTAGATAGAAATTTGAAGACAGTAATACAAATATTTTTCAGATAATTCATTATATTTATCGATTATATCTACGAAAATAAATAGTCATATACAAAAGTCGAAGAGTTGCAGAAAATATTTTTAAATTCATCAAGAGAAAGTGGCTGATTTAACCTAGGGTTTGAGAGAATTAAATACCCTTCCGGCGATCAAGACACGTGTCTAAGCTGAAGAACGAACGGTCAGAATCTTTTTCCGAGACTACCCTTTAGTTCCTTACAAACACTTGATTTTTCATTTCATAGCAATAGTGAGTATAAGCTTCACGGGATAATGTAAAATGGGCATCAACTAAAATCATTGTTTAATACAAAATATATCAACAGTCGATATTTACAGAATGTCAGCCAAGCTTTCGTATCAACCATGGAAGACAAGCCAAATAGAACCAAGAATGGAAGGAGGAGCACCCTTAGGAGCCACAGGAAAGAAGAAGCACCAATCAATAGAATTACAGAACCTAAACTCATTGGGATATGTATGCTTGACATACAATACACATTGAACTTCCAGTTTCTATTGTAAAAAACACAAGGACTTAACATCATGAAGTTACAATGGACCGAGCACTACGGCCAAGGCCAAGACCTAATCCTAACGGGACGCTTCCATCACTTTTTGACTTGCTATGGTTACTGTGGCTGCAATGCGAAGAGTGAACATGGCCATGGGAAGAATGAGCATGACCATGATGCTTGTTAGTATTCACATTGATTGCGACATGACCATTGGAATTGGCGTGATGATCACCATTTTGCATGCTTGAATTCATTGGTATATGCATCATTCCTATCCCATCAGAATGTGGTGAATCTTCGACATACTCCACATCCACATTGTAGCCTTTGATCAAGAAATCCGAGCAATTCTTTTTCAATCCGTGATCATACGGGTTTCTGAACTGACCACCCGGGCCTTTCAGGTAACTATAGCGCATTGCATTTGCCATTTCATTAGTTGTTATATTGCGGGATATCTGCAAGGATGAAAAGAATTCAATCTTAGGTGTCATAAGATGCAGAAATAACAGTTACAGGACTGCATCACTGGATTGAAATCAAGAACTCTACTCCCATTAAAACTGAGAAATAGGCCATAAATGGTTTCAGGCTGAAAAACATATTGTAAGAGACCGTTTATAAAAATCAAACAAACTCTCAGTGTATTAAAAAAACCACATTGAGACTGTTCTTCTGTACTGTTTACCCTGCAATTTAGTAGAACAAAAAACTTCAAATATTGCTCCATCAGATGTAATCTAGAGAAGACACTTCATATGGGATCTATATGCGAACAAGTGAAACTGTGGACGGCACACACCAAAGAAGTGGATGGTCACGAGAATAATATTTCAGCAGAAAAGAGCTTGCATATTACAGTTAAAAGAATGTAACTGAAGGTATTAGTGATGGCAAAGAAAGGGCTTAGAAAGGAGATCCCAACAAACATACCTGAGAAGCTTGCACAGCGGTCAAAACTGCCACGCCAAAGAAGAGGAAGAAATCCACAATGATAAATGATATAGCCCCGACATGATTTGTACCAGCGTGGTTCATCCATGCTCCAAGTGAAGATGGGGCAGCAGGATCAGTCAAAATTCCTGCATGCAGCAACCGCATTTTGTTGGAAGATCAGAGCAAAAGCCCTCTCCGTATAACAACATGGAAATGCAATTAAGATTCTCTATCAACTAATAACATACTTATTAAAGTGACTGCACCCGTAATTGTCATAGCTGAAACTTCTAAGACAAGAAACAGAAAGAAATCCCACTTGTTTTCCTGAAACACAAGTGAATAACATGTAAGAACAATTTTTTGTAACCCCAAGTGCCCATAGAAGACTTGATTCAACCTTAATATATTTCATACATACAAGGACAGTGATAGGACCAACTGAGACCAGTTGGTAACATGCCAGAATAATTGATCAAGGAGGAAATGTCACATTATTATAATCAGGGGAAACCGTTGTACTAACTCAAAAAAGCATTTGATTAGTCTCTATTACATAGCATCAGATACTGTGAAACTATAGCAGTTCCACCAAAGAAACCTCCCCATCCTTATGGATCAATCCATGAACAAATTTGCATGATAAATTTACTATTCACATGAATATACATAATATTAGATTATTGATAAGAGTTTTAAGTTCCATGAAAATAGAGGAGAAACATGGAACTTAATCACCTTGCCGATGCAATTGGATACCCAAGGACAATGATGATCAAACTGTTCAACACAGCGATCGCAAGTTGAGCAGTGCTTCGCTCGAAGAGGTCTGACTATCTGATGAGAACAAAAATTAAATAAGAAATCAGTGAAAATAACTAAACATGATATAAAAATCACAGGTAATGAATTCAAATGAAGCAAGCACCTTGCAAGTCGCACAGAGCTGAGACCAGTTTCCAGCTAGCAGAGCAGGATTATTTATCTCAATCCTCAACAGAGGTTCCTGATTAAATCAGGACGAACCGATATTCACAACAAAAGAACCAATGTTAACCTTTAAAGAAAATAAAGGAGAAAAACTTTTTCTATCAAAAATCATGACAGATAATCAAAATGTAGACAATAAAACTCACATCATCTTTCATATTTTGTGGATCATGGAAATTCATTCTGATGTAACCAGGATCCTTGCTGAAAAATAATAACAATAATGATAATGATAAGACAACCATGATATGTGGAAAAGGAGTTTCTTTTTTTTTTTTTTTTTTGAGAGAGAGAGAGGCCATTCATGAAAATGTGTTGATGAAATTACTAAGACCATCCTCTACGTCACGAACATGACAAAGAATTCCTATTACCATAAACATAAATATCTCTTTTATAGTAAAGAACGACAGAGAAAAGTAATCCCTTAAATATTATACACTATCTAAAAGGTTCATGGACCATTTGTTTGCCTAACAATAACCTAAAGATTGTGATAAACTTACCTGTGCTCTACATATATGTCATTAGCTAAATAATCTAGTGATGAATTATGTTAATAAAAATTAAAAAGGAACAAGAAGCAACAGAAACTTATTGCTAGAAATTTTTTTTCTTTTTCTTGTATATTATTATATTTTGTCTCTCTTTACTCAAACTTCCAATTTAATTGTGTAATCTATGAATAGGAGGTCTAGGCCGTTTTTAACAATAGAAAGGCCTCTCTTTTCTCCATAAACCACAGGGAAGACCAGCATACATAACCCAGCAGATATATGAAACACAAAAAGCTTATTCTACCATCCAAATGTTCATAGGTGCACAAGACCAGAAAGTCTATCATTTATAATAAACAAGGATTTGATGCGCAATATTACTAAAGCATATATTAAATTGCTAGAGTTTCCAACTGAGAGAAGATTTATGTATTCAATAGACTTACCTGCTACACCGATAAAACATAACTAATCCAGCACTTGCTAGGAAAACACCCAACCATGCAACAAAGCCAATGCCTGCTGTTAACTTTGGCAGATTTGGTGCTGCAGACAATATTAAGAAAAGCACTAAGTCCAAAACTGACCAGAATAGTCTAATCATAATTAGGACAGTATGGGCAAAAAAATTTCATGCAAGGACCAGAGAGATACCCATGACGACAGAATGGATATAGACCATAAGCAGCAGTAAGATCATAAACCAAAGCATGGGAGCAAGTCCTAATTTTGATAGGCGGCCAAGTCGACTGCTCCCATCACATCGCTTTTCAAGCAATCTTCTAGCATTTCCCTATAAAATTAGATTGATAAGATCATAAATTGATAAGTGGCGAAAAGCAATTATTTTGAGGATTGTAAGTTTCTTTTTCTTTTAGAGAAATTTGCAAATTATTTCCTCAGTTAGAAATTATTATCATAAACTAAGAATGGTTTGCCAAAGCAGCATTAAAGTAAAAAAGGATAAGAGCGACCACATAAAAAAGAATATATTCATAATCCACATAGTCAGACTAGGTGCAATAAAAAATTAATATAGTTTAGAAAGTTTGTAAATCTAGGAGGACATTTGCACTCTTATTCCCTTTTTTTTACTTTATTTACCTAAAAAATTAAAATCATCTGCTTGAGTATAAGCATTCATCAGTTAAAGAACAAACACATCAACTCATGTAAGAAAACTACAGAAGAAGGATGAGAATCCATATGTTAAAGGAACATCAACATCAAATTTAAAGTGCCAATAGCACCTACAAGGAAAAAAGCAACTTGTCTGTGATTTTTATCAGAAGCAAGCTGTGCTGGTGTGAGACCAGTGTTGTCAGTAACCATCAAGTCCTCCTTCTTCCCAGCCTGTACTAATACTGTACATGCCTCCAAGTTACCCCTAATAGCAGCCCAGTGGAGAGGAGTGCAACCTGACATCATAAAGATGATTTAAAGATCATGCAAAAGGTCACGAAAACCAATATTCTTTTCTACAAGAAGAAAAAAAAAATTAAATTCTTAACCATGTGAAATTTACCAGATCAAAAGTTTTAGTATTAAGCCCAAGAACTTACCTTCTTTGTCTTGGCGCCCTCTGTATGCATCCAAAAATAGAAGAAGACGAATACAATCAGCAAAACCTTTATAAGCAGCCCTAAAATTCTCCAAAAATTATGTAAAAGTAAATTAAAACAAAGAATAGATTAATATGCTGATAACTGAGGAAAGAACTATAACAAGCAAAAATGACCTGAAAACTGCTTTTGATGATATTTTCATAACAAAAGCAGCTATAATGTAAAAACATAGTGTTACATGTACAACAGATAGGGAGTTGATTGGTAGAAAGTAACTTCAGATTAAATGCAATGGCTTTCTTCAAAAATATATATAAGGTATATGTTGCCATCATCATCAGGGACACAAGAACTGTAGTTTGTTCTATATTATTGCTCATGCAGGAACCAGAAAAGTATCAGCTAATCACCAGCAAGTATAATTAAAAAATGACAATGAAGTCAAAATTAGTACCTTAGGAGGTAAAAAGAATTTGTTAGAGAAGTTATTGATTGCAGGAAAATAAAATATTACATCATGGGTATAAACTTCGAAACGCAAGTATAAGAACGGAAGAGATTTAGAGAAAAACAAAAGAAACCATGAAGTTCACAAAGGACTATCTTCCTGCAACATCACTTAACATGGGCATACTACTATTATATAATGACTTAAATTCTCGTTTACCAGAATTCTTGAAAAAAAAATTATCATGTACCAATGTAAAGGGCTTCTTCCATCATTATCAGGAACATCTGGGTCAGCATTCCATTTTGAAACAATGTGATAGAGGAAAGCTGTCTGACCATATTGAGCTGCAACATGTGTTGTCTGCAAACAAGTCATCCTAAGAATCAACATGCAACTCTTATAAAAATGAATAAACGAGATGCAAGTCTTCTATCAAAAGAATATCAGCATGCAACTCCCAAGTCAAAATCACTACTACATGCACTAACACTATCTTTTAACCAGAAGGAACCATTGTGCTATAAGAATCAAAGTCTCACAGAACAACCTAGTTGTTAAAGTCAAACACCATCCTGGTTGTCTTGCCATCAAACTTTTACATAGCTAAATATAACTTGGAAAGAAAAAAAAATTTTAAAGCACCCACTACTAAGATTATAGGTCAGGTAAGGAAAAAAATGTGGAAAAATTAAAATTGGAAACAACAAGGTAGAGAAGAAGATAACATGATTCCACAGGAAGTCAGCTATGCAACATCTACCCACAACATATCAAAGGATGCATGGAAACTTTTTTATTAAGTTATTGTAACTTGCAAGAGAAACAAATTATACATTTACATGTTTTTCTAAAGATTTGGATAGAAGTCCAAAAATATTTCTATAACATTTCACTGGCCCAGAATTCATAATAAAAAAAATCATAATTATGACTTAAAGAAAGCAAAACCATAATGGAAACACAAGCATATAGATGAGATTAACCTGATAGCCATACATATCAGCAGCATCCACCTTAGCACCCTCTTGGAGTAAAAGTTCTGCCACTTGGATTGCACCACGAACTGAACTCCAATGTAATGCAGTCTGCCCTGTATGATCGGCCGCATTTACATCTGCTCCATGCTGGCAATGAAATCCGAAAACATGACCATTAATCCAAGCAATGTAAAAGAAATAAAAACTATCACACTGGAAGATAAGTCCCAACATGGTCTTTTTCCCTCAATGAACACTGAAAAAGCCAAACTGACAATCACATAACAAAACAGCCAAAGGACTGTTGATAATTA